ACCAACACTCGTCGCGACCCACAAACACACCGGACAGCTGCAAGCAAAGGATGTTTGAGAACGTGGGCTAGCAAGCACTGGGCTGATGCGTTTGTGTACATGGGATTATAGCTTTCTCTCTCTATGTATATATATATTTACCGTGTCCTTCCTCAAAGATGATGGCAATCATTGCCTTCCATTTAGCTCTGTCCATGATATTATTCTCGGATTTTGCATTAAATACTCCCGAAAAACTAAACTATTTTTTTTAGTTTACCAAGTAAGGCCCACTGAGCTATACAGCTCTTTTTCAGAAGCGATCTGGCCACAAATGATATCTCAACAAAGTGGCTTATCACGTGGAAATTTATAGCAGCCAAATACTCGAAACGCATGCGTCTAAATGTGAAAAACTGGAGGACCATGAGAAAAATCCACGCGACCACGGGGAGAGACATGCAGACTCCATTTATACAGGCGTCGAGGTCGGGATTGAACCAACGACCTCCTGTAAACCAGGCGAGGTAGTTAACATTTCGCGCCCCAGTTGCATTCAACCGTTGCAAGTTGCCTCGGTAACTTAACTCACTGTCAGCATCTTGTACTTAAAATGTTTGTTGTCTCACTGAAGCATCATTGACATGCTAATCTCTCACAATACAATAGCCACTTCGACAGCCTCAGGGAGATCATCTCGAGCCCTGAACTCTTACCCTGAGGCTGTACCCACCCATCTTAGGCCTATATAAGACCTTGTTTCAGTAGTTTTCTCTCTCTCTCTCTCTCACCTGTAGAAGATTACCTGTGTTGCGATCGAAACATCGTGATCTATTATTTTTCTATCTACGTGACTTTACCGAAAGACCCAAAGAGTATTATCACACTAGCTTATTCATCAGCGTGCACACGTTCTCACTCCATTGCGATGCAGATGCATATGATAATAACGATAATAAATTATGATATGAGTGATATTGGTTAAAGGCCCTACCACACCATGTCAGCCATGAATGTGTGGATTGGTGAATATTACAGGAAATACAGGCACATACACTGTATTACAGCCAGTAGCACTAGTTATTTATGGAAACATCTACACGGGCTTTCGAAAATATGAAAAGGTACTGTTGCCATATACTGCCCCTGAAAAGGTATTTTAATGGCACGAAAAATATCCCGAAGCAATGTGATGCCAATTTGCTCGTTAAATTCCTTGAGATTATAGCCAGATGAGAGGTCATTGAGACTATACGTCTCTCTGTTAAGGCAGACCTGGGATACGCACATACATACAAGGATAAACATCAATTTCACAACAACAACATTAAGTGCAAGATATCAGAAATACACCTTTAAAAACATCAAGGTATTTCACAGACGATGGGACAAAAAACAAGAAATACAAAGCAACTATGCGCTGTTTGTAGACCGGATGAGGATAGCGAAACGATAACAAGAATTTGCACTCCCATTTTCTAAGAAATGTATCCAATTTATTACAAAAAGACCAGCTGTTAGGCAACACATGCATTGAGATGATTTACATTATTTTGGTGCTATAAATGTCTAAATGACGGGCCACTTTGTTGAGCTATCATTTGTGGCCAGGTCGCTTCTGAAAAATAAGTGAACACCTCAGTGGGTTTTGCCTGGTAGGATGGGGATGGTTTAGTTTAATTTGTGTTTGTTTGGGTGATTTCATTACCTTCCTTGTACTTTGCACTACTGTCATGTTTTTTGCACTGCTTGTTGCAACGTTCTTTCCCAATCCCCCCACTGGACATCTGTGAAAAAGAGCTTTGTAGCTCATCGGATTCTTCCTGGATAAATACTTATTCAAATTCTGATTATGAATACACATAGGGGCATAGAGGATGCGGAGGGAGGGATGAATGGAGCGATAGAGGAAGAGAGCAGAAAGGGTTGCAATGTCAGAGATGAGCTCCTGATGAACGGTAACAGACAAAGACATTTTTGGGGTCCCCAAGTGAGCCAGCTTGTTTGAGGCTTCCCGATGGCCCACGAGCAACGCATGCCATCAGCTTTACACGCACGCCGCCTTTCCCCAACTCCATAAAGCACTCCGCTCGTATTACCACAACTGTAATCACAGGGACGGGATAGCAGAACACTCTAATGTAACGCAATCGCAATTCAACACAATTGGGAATTATAAAGTGCCCGAATACAACATTATCACAATGTCAAAGGAAATGACAACGGTGGAAATGCTACTTGTCATTCTGCACTCCACGCAGCACTTTCTGCCGGAACGGATAAGAGGAGTTAACGGTAAGACTAGGGGAGGTTTATAAGCGGGTAAGGAGGTTTATGAGAAGGTTGGGGATGCTGCCACGGTTGCAGTGGCAAAGCCGCTGGACTTGCGATCCAGAGGTCACCGGTTAGTTTCGACCTCGCTCAACGCGGCAGTTCAAACGATGGTGGGAAGACTGCAGACATCGCAGCTGTCGCGGTTTTCACCTGAAGACGGGCGCTTGTATTGCGTTCTAAACGTCGTGATTTATTTCATTGTATATTCTTGGATCTTTCGGTAAAGTCACGTAGAAGGGAAATAATAAAATAATAAAAATAAACATAATAAAATTCTCACGACGTTTCGGCCACAACACAAGCAGCCGTCCTCAGGTGAAGACCAGACTTGTCGGAAAGACAGCGTCCTAATGAACGCCGCTAAGCTTGGCAGCGTATTTTAAGCTGGGTGGGAGGAGCAGAGCGCCTTGACAAAGGAATTTACATATCATAGAGCACCTTGACAAAGGAGTTTACATATCATAGAGCACCTTGACAAAGGAGTTTCCATATCATATGTAAACTCCTTTGTCAAGGCGCTCTGCTCCTCCCATCCAGCTTAAAATACGCTGCCAAGCTTAGCGGTGTTCATTAGGATGCTGTTTTTCCGACAGCTCTGTTCTTCACCTGAGGACGGCTGCTTGTGTTGTGGCCGAAACGTCGTGAGAATTTTATAATGTATTATTTTTATTATTTTATTATTTCCCTTCTACGTGACTTTACCGAAAGATCCAAGAATATGAATCCCTGCAGTCACGAAAGCTTTAAATCGATATTTTATTTTATTTCTACCTACGTGACATTACCGAAAGAACCAAAGAGAATAGATTCCTGCAGTCGTGCCCCCACTTCTGCGTCTGTCCTGTCTACCCAGAAGTAGATGTGAGTATGAAACAGTTAATCCGACTAGTTGTTCGTGTGCGGTGGGGTAAAATGTGGGTTCTCCCACCTCTTGACAGATGTCTGGTTAGTTTGGAAGACTAGGCCAAATAAATATCCTCTAGGGAGGGGGACTCTGTAAGGGATACCTACAGTGTGTGAAGGCCCTTCCCACCAGCAGTGACACCAGCACATAATTGCAGGGCTGCGCCCCTATCCATGGCCTAAAAAAGCTCATCAAGTGAAAACGGTAATGCAATATGATGAAATTCATTAAGAGGCTGCGTTGGCAGTGCATGGGAATGTATAATATCAACCCCAACCCTCGTCATTCATTGTCAACGCTGCTGAAAAACGGGAGAAACGCAACGATAGCCCGACGTGTTGGGCAACAGCCCTTCTTCAGGAAGGCCACTGATGGTAAGGGACGCCGACTGGCGCACGGTTTCCCGGGGTTGTGCCGCGTCTGGTCGGGCACGACGACCGACGTTTCGCACCTCCGCCTCGTGCTGCGCGGGAACTGCTTTGGCAAGTGAATTATCCCGTAAATGAAGCTCCCCAGCGGCACGTGGAGTGAAACGTTGGACATCGTGCCGAACGACGACCCGAGAGTGCATCGGCGAGCACGGCGTGAAAGGCGACGCGGCGGCTGAGATGATACTTCACGGCGGCTGCCTGGGAAACTTTGAGGTTGACAAATGGACAGTTTGTTACTCATTATCTGTTAATGGAAAAACTGATCATTTATCAACTTGTAATTTTTCAAGGCGCCGCAGTGTAAAGATTTGTCCTCAGAGATTTCCGTTGTGAATTTAAGGGCATTTTGATGATGATGATGATGATAAAGTGTGCTCCCCATATACATGCTCGTCTATCTCTCTGCCTTCTCCCCTCTCTGCTCTAAATAATGACCTTTTTCTGTGCAGCTTGAGTTTCATACATATTTCTCAGTTATAAGGCAATATATAATGGAGCTTGCGAAACATCCCGAATGTAGGGCCACAGAGCTTGGAAAATGGTTAGGCGCTGGTTCTGGCCGTTGGACAGCAAGCTCACTATATTTCACAATTCGGCGCGACGTTTCACTTGGTAGCTACAACCGGTATCATTTAAGGCCCAACACTGAAGGATATTTTCACAATTCTGGCTACTGCTTGATAATGGTGGTTGTTACAAGCAGCGAAACGTCGAACCCATGTAAATGTTGTGAAATTACTCTCCAACACACTCGTGGTGCTGCTGAAGCAGTAGTGAATTGGTGTGTTTGTTCACGTGCCAACAACATTAATTGGCTGTGTCGGGTGGAGGAGAGTGGACAGCACAAATCTTATTGATGCTATCCGACCCAAAAATCAATGACGAATCATTAAATTGGTCGTGAAAGCCTTCTATGTATTAAACAGCAATGCTGTCAATTCCATTGGAAAACGTTTCACGGAGCACCTACGTAATGGGTAATGGGTATTTATTTACATCTGCAAACGTTACATTCGTCATTTCATCACGGGAAATGAAACATTAAATCAACATCAAAATGTAACATCATTTCTTTTGAACGGAAACCAAATGAAACTTTATTTTTTTTTTAAGTGAACCGCGATAATCACGATGCGGTGGCGGCGGCGACATTTCTCAACAACAACAGCAAAAAACGGACGGTGCCACCCTCGTGGACCTAACCTCGCAGCTCTCATCGGTGGCGTCGCGCCCTCGTCTCTCGCGCGTGGCGTCCGGCTTTCCCGAGCAGCACGGCCACGCACGCAGCCCCCCCCCCGGCCCTCCGGCCCTCCCAGCCACCACCGCCACCGCCACCGCCACGGTCAACTCACGTTGATGTGCCCCGTGGAGATCTGCATCTCGTGCAAGCGGCGGACTGTGGTGTCACGGTCGATGAAGTAGGCGGCCGTGAGCTGGTGCAGCAGCTCCTGCGTCTGTGTCGCGTTCTCCACCTGCTTGTCCACCTTCCCCCGGTCCACGTACACGGTCAGCGCCTCCTCCCCTGCGCCATGCCGACAGCGCCGAGGTTAGCACTCCCGCCCGCCCGCTCACTCGCCCGCCCGCTCACTCGCCCGTCCGCCCATCCGCCAGGCCACTCACTCAATAGCGCTTGTTCAAAGCCCATCATCAGAAATGTTGTACGGTACTGCCCTACAAAAGGACAAATAATGGGTATAAATGTAAAACATAGGTTGAATGGGAAAAATGTGTAGCCTTTTAGTATCGCTTTGCCGGTGATGTCAGCCATGCCCAGGAATCTAACTCAGCGATGAGATGAGCTCTTGCACAGGAGCAAGATGCATTGTGGGATCATTGTGGGACCCCAGAAAAAGTGCACACGAGGGGGTGGCAATCGGCACTGGCATCTCCTGGTCGTCTCACGACCCAAGCCTACAACACCTGGCAAGTCCTGGTGGTGGTCACCCACACACGTGGTAAAATATCTAAATGCGCTTAGTTTCGGATATCTGACAAAGTCGTTTAATGTACATTTGACCCGACAAAACCTGAAAAATCCAACACCTGCCCTCGCAAAAGCCTCTTTTGCCACTTTTGCAAACCGGTTTGATGTAATTACATTTGGGAAAAATCCGAAAACTCTAACACACCGAAAAATGCTTCTAAAAATATTACATCATTTTCATTTCTGATTTAGGCTCAAAAATAACATGCTTGTATATGTATCATTATTACCACAAAAGAAGAATATCGTCACTCGACTATTGGAAGGAGGCTTCCTTCCCCATACTGTGTCAGTAATGGGAGCTGTTTGACCACACTTCACCAGAGTGGTCAGTTGAGTTGGATAACTGTGGTCGTGGGATAAACCAGGTCCAATTAAAGCAGCACTTGCCACTGTGGCGGGATGAAAACTACCTCGCCTTGTTTACAGGAGGTTATGGGTTCGATCCTTTCAGTTTTCATTTTCATTTATTTGGTATAGCCCTGTGAGCCATTCGGCTCTTGAATTGGGTGCAACCGCAACAAACAAAAAACATGAACAAGAAAACATCTTCAAGTGACTACGTAACTATGCGCAAACAGAAAAATCCAGGGAAAAAAAACGCCGATATATCTGGAGCTTACATGTTCTCCCCGTGGCCGCGTGGATTCCTCTTCGAGGGAGCTCCATTTTTTCCCTCCACATAATCAACATGTTTGCTAGAGTATTTGGCTACTCATACATTTGCAAGTGATAAGCCACTTCGTTGAGCTATCACGTGTGGCCAGGTCGCTTCTGAGAAATATATATCTCAGTGGGCCTTGCCTGGTAAGGTAAAAAAAGTTTCAGTTTGATGTTAGCCATGTGCCGGTATCAAACCCAAGTCAGCAGATTTCATAACACGGTGAAAATATCCACTACCCCACCTCTTCCCGTGCAGACAACATATAATGCAAAATACACTTCCCAAAGCTGCAATCCACCTAAAGTGTGGCAGATGAGAGCCAAATCATGAAATTTAAAAACACGATTAAAGCCTCGCCAGTGTCTTCACAGCGGCAATCGCTTGCCCGTACAATTCATTTGCTGAGCAAAACACCGAAAAGCCTCATGACCCAGATAGAAAAGTATATAACAGCGGATTGGCTTCTCTGAATGCAAACAATGGAACGGGAGAGCACTTATTGGTGCGCCATCTGAGACATCACACTCGGAAAATATGTGCCCGTAGCCTGTATTTATTGTACGCTCACAATTTTCCGAAGCACACACTGCTCTGTTGAAATCTTTTTTTTATCATTTCCCATCGAGATGCACGCAGCAGCTGACGTCAGGAGCCAACCGTGGCGTCGACTCTGCCCGCCACCTTGATGGTGACAGCCAAGCCAAGGGGGCACTGGCCTGCCCGCTGATTAATAACACTTGTCAACACACTTATTCTGGCATAAGGTATTCCAACGGTTTCAAGGTAAATTTGGGGTGCTGATTCCAAATCTGGTATCAGTTTTTGTCTATCACATCAGGTTTTTGAGATATCAAATATAGCATTTTCAATAAAAACTGCAGAAGAAAAATATTTAATAAATGTGGATATCTACATAAAATGATATTTTAAACACACTATCCTAAAAATACAGCACCATATTTTAACACTAAAGCAGTCACTGACTCGCAACAACTTGCAATCATAAGTGACAGAGTTAATTTCGGGTAAAATCAAGAAAATGGGGTATGCCGATAGCATAAAAATGAGATGTGATAGAGCAAATCTGAGATGAGATTTGGAATCAGCACCCTGAAATTAGTCTAAAACAGCTGCAAAATCCAGGCAGAAAAAAAAGTTTTTTTTTGTTGACCAGTGTTATTCAATGTTACAAAAAATATCTTTTAATTAATGTCCCTGGGTAGTAAGTGTTATTTTATAATTGCTTATGCCTCAAAAGTAGAGAACATGTCTATTATTCCCCACAAACTTTACTTTTGTGAGCAGGACACAAAAGCAAAGTTAATAATCCACTCCATTAATAACACTGTGTGACACATTTATTTATATTTCGTTCCTGGGTAGTAAGTGTTATTTCCTAATTGCTTATGCCTCAAAAGTAGAGAAAATGGCTATTATTCCCCACAAACTTTGCTTTTGTGACCAGGAGATTGATATTTTGAAATTGACCTATTTTCAATGAGAAAACGTGGTGTGCATTTGTGTCTTTCGTTCACGTAAAGTCCTGGTCACAAAAGCAAAGTTTGTGGGGAATAATAGCCATTTTCTATACTTTTTACGTATAAGCAATAAAAAAATAACACTTAGTATCCAGGAACAAAAATTGTGTTACAGTATGTAATTATATAAATCAAGATTTGAAGTTTTCGTGACTACAAGGATCCATACTCTTTGGTTCTTTCGGTAAAGTCACATAGGTGAAAAAAAAAGATACGAATAAAAAGAAAGAATAAAAATAGAAATAACTAAATTAAATCACGACGTTTCAGGCACAACACAAGCGTCCGTCATCAGGTGGGGACAACCACAGCGAAAACAGTTGCTGAAGTATGCCAAAGAGATGACTCTGACAAGGGATTATAGAGCTGATGGGGTGGGGGAAAGAAAGGCCAGGGTGAGTGCTCTGCAAGCCGTCTGGATACCACCAAAGATTTGTCCATGAAGCCATCCAGATATACAAACATAGACGTAACTTCAACCGAGAAGATGGATTCAAATTGAGCAATCATTGGACGGATGTTATTAACCAAGTTAAACATTAGCTACCTTATAGTTTATATTCATATCCACATCTCCAGTCTTTTACTCCAAGCCCTGCTCACTCCCATCACTTGAAAATTTGCCGTGCAGCGTTTCGAGCCTGCAGAGTTCTCCCCCCCCACCAACACAACGTGTCACAGCAGTAGGTCGAGCTTTAGGATCAGCCTTTCCGCCAGAGGTCGCAAACGGGTTTTGATTCCTTACCTGTACCCGTACCCGGCCGCACCAGGGTCGCAAAAGGGTACCCGTACCCGGCCGGGTACAGGTAGCCGGGTATCGGGTAGGGTACGGGTATCGGGTACCCGGTTGCGACCTCTGGTCTGGCGCAGAGGTCGCAAACGGGTTTTGATTCCTTACCCGTACCCGGCCGCACCAGGGTCGCAAATGGGTACCCATATCCGGCCGGGTACGGGTACTCGTTCCCTACCCGTACCCTACCCGAAATGAGTGACAAACGGTTACTCACCAGTGACTCACGGCCTACCCGTACCCGGCCGCACCAGGGTTGCAAACGGGTACCCGCACCCGGCTGGGTACGGGTAGCCGGGTATCGGGTAGGGTACGGGTATCGGGTACCCGGTTGTGACCTCTGCTTTCCGCTCCTCTCCAGCCCACGCCCAGCCCCCACACTCACCCTGTCCTCTCCCCACCTCAGCTCTATGATCCCTTGTCAGAGTCATCTCTTTGGCATACTTCAGCAACTGTTTTGGATGTGGTTGTCCACACCTGATGACGGGCGCTTGTGTTGCGCCCGAAACGTCCTGATTTAATTTAGTTGTTTCTATTTTGATTCATTATTTTTATTCGTATTTTAATTTTATTTTCACCTACGTGACTTTACCGAAAGAACCAAAGAGTCATTATATAATTATCAAAGGGCGATCGCTTTACCAGTGCCAGGCCAGAAGTTAAAGCAGAAGTTAAAACGGACCAAAAGCTTCGGGGGGCCCCGAGTTGTGTGTACGTTGAACGTCTTTCATGGCCGTACGTAGCCAACCATGCAATTCGGACTTGTGCGGGTTAGAAGTACAACAAACAAAACACACAAAAAGAAAGGTCCTACCCTGGATCATTTCCTCCCATTACATCCCGTTCCCCACTGCTATTCACGTGTAACTCAGCGCTCCGGAACACTTGTTTACATCACGGTGAGATTGTTTACACCACGGTGAGATTGTTTACATCACGGGCGCGTTGCTAACGCAGGGTGTTGTTGTTGTCGTTGTTGCCATTGTCGTCACGCGTGCAATGATCGACGGGTGAACGGAAGCTCAACTCAAATTGTTGTTATTCTTTGGTTCTTTTGGTAAATTCACGTAGATAGAAGAAATAATAAAAATAAAAACCACGAATAAAAACCACGACGTTTCGATCGCAACACAAGCGATCGAAACGTCGTGGTTTTTATTTTTATTATTGATTTGAAGCTTTCTTGACTGCAGGAATCCATACTCTCTGGTTCTTTCGGTAAAGTCACGTAGGTAGAAAAAAATAACAAACAAAAGGAAACACGACGTTTCGGTCGCAACACAAGCGTCCGTCTTCAGGTGAGAAAATGATCTGCTGTTGTGGCTTTATATAGGCACGGGAGGGGGGGAAGGGTGGGGAGGAGTTGTTGTCGAGTCGTGGCTGCAGGCAGAACCGGCCCTCGACCTTTAGGGGCCCTAAGCAAAATTTGGTTGGAGGCCCCTTTGATGTATGATTTTTTTAAATCCTTTATATTAAGTTCGCTTGCGTGCTTGTGTGCTTGCTTGCTTACGACCGTGCAAACCTTTCGGTCGTTTTTTAACCCACT